TATTGTCAATTAATGTTTGACAAAAGACTAAATCTTCAATGGGAAAAAGTCTCTTCAGCAAATGATTGGGAAAACTGGACAGCTTTGTGCATAAGAAAGAAATGGGACAACTTTGTTTTACCATACACAAAAATAAACTCAAAATGGATTAAAGACCTAAGTGTAAGACCTGAAACCGTAAGGATCCTTGAAGAGAGTCCAGGCAGTAATTTCTCTGACAACTTTTTCTGGATTTGTCTCCTGAAGCAAGAGAAATATAAAAACACAAAGAAACTATTGGGACTACATCAAAATTAAAACCTTTTGCATAGCAAAGGAAACAATCAACAAAACTAAAAGGCAACCTACTAAATGGAAGAAGATATTTGCAAATGGCATATCCAATAAATGTTTAGTATTCAAAATATATAAAGAATTGATACAAATCAACATCCAAAAACAAACAATTCAATTTAAAAATGGACAGAAGATATGAGCAGACATTTTTCCAAAGAAGACACATAGATGGCCAACAGACATATGAAAAGATGCTCAATATCACTCATTATTAGGGAAATGCAAATCAAAACTACAATGAGGTGTGACCTCACACCTGTCAGAATGGCTAAAACAAAACAAAACAAAACAAGAAACAGCAGTTGTTGGTGAGGATGTGGAGAAAAAGGAACCCTCTTGCACTGTTGGTAGGAATGCAAACTGGTGTAGCCACTGTGAAAAACAGTACGGAGATTCCTTAAAAAATTAAAAATAGAACTACCTTATGATCTGGTAATCACACAAGTGGATATTTACCCCCAGGAAAAACCAAAAACAGTAATTCAAAAGGATATATGCACCCGTTAATTGCAACATGATTTATAATACCCGAACTATGGACACAACCCAAGTGTCCGTTAATAGATGAAAAGATAAAGAAGACGTGTGTGTGTGTCTGTGTGTGTTTGTATACATATATATGTATATGTATATACGTATATACATATATATGTATATATATAATATATACATATATATATATTTTTTAACAAGCTTTAGTTCACTTTATTTTTCTTGTATAAAACTATGTGGTAGCCACAGCTGGAGCCTGGGTCCTCTGCACAGAGACTCTGGTGTGGGTCTTCACAAGATGGTCTGTGAACTCCTGATAGGGAGACTTGGTGAACACAGTCTCCTTCCAGAGGTCAGAGGTGAGATAGCTGTAGGTCTTGGAGATGGCATCGAAAGTAGCCTTGGCAAAGTCCCCAGGGTGGCAGTGCAGCCCCTGGCCGAGGTGTAGCAGTCGTCGATACCAGCCATCATCAGCAGTTTCTTGGGCATAGGGGCTGAGACAATGCCAGTGCCTCTGGGGGTGGGGATGAGATGCACCAGCACAGGGCCACAGTGGCCAGTCACCTTACACGGGACACTGTGGGGCTTGCCAATCTTGTTCCCCAAGTAGCCTCGCCACAGGGACATATACGTATATGTATATACGTATATACGTATATACATACACATATATATGTATACACACACACATATATATGGTGCATTGAATATATATTGTATATATTGTGTATATATATATATTGAATACATATATACATTGTATAGTATATTGTATATAGATATATATACATTGAATATATATATACAATAGAATATTATTCAACATAAAAAGAATGAAATCTTGCTATTTGCAACTAGCATGGAGCTAGTATAATGCTAAGCGAAATAAGTCAGAGAAAGACAAATACTGTGGTCTCATTCATATGTGGAATTTAAGAAACAAAACAAACAAGCAAAGGAAAGAAAAGAGAAAAAAAAAAAAGGGCAAGCCAAGAAACAGATTTAACTATAGAGAACAAACTGATGGTTACCAGAGGGGAGGTTGATGGGGAAAATGGTTGAAACAGGTGATAGGGATTAAAGAGTACACTTATCATGGTGAAAAAAGAAAGGGAGGGAGAAAGGATGGAAGAAAATGTATTGAACAGTTCCTCTTATGTCATAGCAACTTACATACTTGATGTATCTGAATTGTAAAGACATGTCTTATATATCTTTAAATTTTGAATGTTACTTTTTATAACTGCCTATTTTCTGTTCTGCCTTTTCTGTGTGTCTTCCTTTTGACTTTTTTTTTTTTTAAAGATTTTATTTATTTATTTGACACGGAGAGAGAGATGGTGAGAGAGGGAACACAAGCAGGGGAGTGGGAGAGGGAGAAGTGTTTCCCCACTGAGCACAGAGCCCAACGCAGGGCTCGTTCCCAGGACCCTGGGGTTATGACCTGAGCCAAAGGCAGCCCCTTAACTAACTGATCCACCCAGGCCCCATCTTTTGACTTTATTTTAAAATATTTATTCATAGGGTACCTGGGTGGCTCAGTGGGTTAAGCCTCTGCCTTTGGCTCAGGTCGTGATCTCGGGGGCCTGGGATCAAGCCCCGCATCAGGTTCTCTGCTCAGCAGGGAGCCTACTTCCCTTTCTCTCTCTGCCTGCCTCTCTGCCTACTTGTGATCTCTGTCTGCCCAATATATAAATAAAATCTTAAAAAAAATTTATTCATCTTTTTGTGCAAAATGCCATGCAGAGATACAAAGCTGAGTAACTTAAATACCTGTAATAGAGGCACTTGTCCGTAGGAAGGTAAGGCATATAAAATAAAAAATTGAATACTAAAGAAGTAAGCCTACAAAATCTTCAGGATTCCAAGAAGATCTAACAGTTAGATTCATTAAGGAAGACTTTATAATGGAGATAAGTGCCCTAGTTCTTACATTTGTTCCTTTATTTCATTAAAAATACTTTTGAGGACCTATTATATTCCAAGCATGTATGTAGATGCTAAGAGTTCAGAGGTAAATAATGTAACTCTAGTCTTTACTTTCATAGATCTCAACAGATAGTGAAGAAAATGTACAATTAACAAGATTATACAATTATATAATTGTAATAAATTCTCTGAAGACCTAGAGGATGCTATGACAACATAAAGTAGGAGATCTAATTTAGATACCTTCATTTAACCTTAAAGAGTGAATAGGAATTAGCCAAATGAGGGCTGGAGTTATGGGGGACAGGAAGGAAGAATTTTGGTCTTAGATGGAACAGCATGTATGAAGATCCCAAGGATGGTATGATTTTGATAGTTTTGAAGAATGGAAGGTAGGCTTTTGTGGGAGAAAGAGAGATGAAGGGAGGGGGTATATGAGATAAAGCTGAAGAAGTGGGGAAGGGCGTATCTATGCCTTGAGAAATTACAGTCTATCAGTGGAGTCACCAAAGGATTTAAACAAAGGTAGCTGTGGTGTGGCAATGGAGTAAAGTCAGGTAGCCAGTTACAGGACTTTAGGAGTTCAGATTAGAGATAATAGTACCTTGCATTGTGTGTGATTTGGGCTAGAGATAATTGAGTGATTCAAGCTATATTTTGAAGGGAAAACAAACACTATTTGTTGGTTTTTCGGAGAGGAATTGTCCAGAGGATACTGAGGTTTTTTGCTTGAGCAACGGTGGCTCATGAGGTCTTTTACTTAAGTGAGGGACACTGTGTATGGCTTAAGATCATGAACTCAAATCTGAGACATTCTCACTTTATAAAAACCATGAGACATCCAAATGAGATTTTGGATGGCAGTTGCATAGACAAGTGTGCAAGTGTACCGCTTAGAAGAGGGATCAGCACTAATGATGAAAATGTGAGTCAGTGGCGTAGGGATGTATTTTGAAGGCATTTGAGTATTAGGATTGGATATTATTTGGACCAGCAAAGTAACATTTTTTTTCTTAGAATTTTTACCACATCATTTCAAAATACAAATGTCATTATTCTGCATGATTTTAATATATTCAGAGATAAATATTTTCTCCTCTTGAGTAACATTCCTCTAACATGAGATTGTAAGTCGAAAAGTAAATAAAATGCATTAATTAAACTTACTTTACAATACAAATTACTGGTCTTTATCTGTTCTTGAACAGATATTATTTTTGCCCTTTGATTTTGATCTTGAGTTCTTCTGCCCTCACTCCATGCCTCCAGATAATGTATTTCTATGGTAATTTGTTGGAATAGTTGATTGGTTAAATGATTTCTTATGTCAGGCAGTTTTGTAAGTAACGTGTTTTTCCCCCAAGGAATTGGATTAAGGGTAGAAATCTTTTCAAAATTAACCAGAGTTATAATTATCATCTAATTTGTTGCTTTAAAAAGCCCTATTTTATGTATCCATAATAGTTTGTTTCACCAGAGTTTTAAAAATCTTTCTCATCATAGGGTCTAACTAAAATATGAAATATGTTAACTCATGATAATTTAAAAGCAGATTTTATTAATTAAGTATCTGTGGATCTCTACTGAAGGTAGTACAATTAATTTATTCACTGTTTTTTTTTACTTTCTCATTTTTTTAGAGAAACCCTTCAAATGTCCCACAACATTATAAGGTCTACAGTATCCATATTGCTTACAGATTGGCGTAAATTTTGAGAAAAGCACAAAGTAGGGAGGAAACTGCACAGCTCTGAAGGACTTGCTAAGCAGAATAGGCAAGCAGTTGTAAAGTTTTCTAGTTTACTACAAGGCCTGATCTAAAGTGAAGTTAGAATTATTCATGAGATTAATTCATGATTTAAAGAGTCAGCTTATTTTGTGGCTTCAGTGATAAAATTTTGACAACTGAATTATCTGTCTAAACATACTTCATAAGATATTGGTAAAATTACAGTTTTTAAAAAATATCTGAAGTTTCTTAAAATATCATCTTCATCACTACAGATTTACTAAGCTAGGGTCTGCGTACTGATTAAACAATGGGTTAAACTTCTTTGCATTTATATCCAGATACACAGGACTAAATAGTTCTTATGTGCTAGGAATTTGCAAATATGTATTATTTCTCTATTTGTAAATTTATTTTTAAAAGAATATCTTTTTTGGAATAGTCACATTGTCATCTAACTTGTGTCATTACCCTGTATCCTTACTCAGTCTTGAGTGTTTTCTTTGTCCTGAAGGAATTGCCTACGACCCTCTGATGCTGAAACACCAGTGCATTTGTGGCAATTCCACCACCCACCCTGAGCATGCTGGACGAATCCAGAGCATCTGGTCACGACTGCAAGAAACTGGGCTGCTAAATAAATGTGAGGTAATCCTCAATTTGCTATACTCTTTTACTTATTTAAATGTCACATAAAGAGGCCAGTGTTCATTTGGGTGATAGCAGAAAAATGTTAATGCTGGAGTACAAACACCATCATGGATGAACCATCATTGATCCTGGTAGCACAGCACTTCTGACTCTGGGCTGTGCACATAGTAGGGATTCAGTCCAAATTGATGGACTGAACAGCAGCATGATGTCTGTGTAGCGTTTTTTGGTATGCATGGCAGCATGGTTGTTTCCAAATAGGTGTCATTTACTGAGTTAATTTTCTGAGAAACTCCACAAACTCTTAAGTGCTAAGTAATTGTTATTTCTTATTATAAACTATATCGTGAACTCAGATATATGCCAAATTTGCCTAGTAAAATGACCGGATTTAAAGATTAACTGTCCTTTTACCAAGAAAAGTCACTTCTTTTAATTAAAGTGGTTGACGTTCTTACATTTTTATGGTAGAGGTTTGAGCACTTTTTATTGGTATTTCTTTAGACTCACTTTTGCAGATTCCTCGACTCCCGTTTTTCATTTGAAAAATCTATTTCTTAGACCTTCAAAAGTAAAAATGGTATCAATTCCAAAAGGTTCCTGTTGTCAAATTTGCAAATTATATAACAATCAGCAGCTGTTTGATTTAATTGCTGTAAATATCCATTGTTGCCTAAGACCCAGTAACATTCTATGTTTGAGTCTAAGACATTTTCAAAAGAAAAATATCCCCCATTTTTTTTTCACATAACTTTAACATTTATTGATCAAAAGTTTTTTTGTTTTTTTTTCCCTGGGTCTATACCATGTCCCAAACATGTTCTAGGGACTAGAATTACAGAATTTCACAAGACAAATAGAGTCCTTGTTATTACAGACTGACAATTTAACATGTTGCTCTTTGGTTTTGTTGTCAGTCTTTGCAGATGAGTGAAGGAAATCCAATCTAGTTCTCACCAGTTTGGAGGCTAAACCACTCTGTCGTCTACACAATTCTGTATGAAGTAAAGAAAGTAAACCAGCAAGGGGACTTAGCTGTAGTGAAATGGTCTTAATGAACATTGATTCATGTGAACATTCTTGTTTCACCTTTGCATTAACTATAGATGTTTTCCAGCATGGCATTCTTTCTGTGCTTTTGCCAACTAAGGCATTGCTGTTTACATTTTTTTTTCACTTTCAGGTCTTTATTGTATCCTGGAGCCTTACCCTAGCCACTTCAATTGACAGTGGTAGATCCCAGTCTTCAAATTCAGTGTTAGATTATGGTATTCCTTAAATGTATTACCTGAAGGAATACTGGCTATGAAAGGAGCAAAGTGTTGAAATAAATGGAATGTAATATAGCTCACACTAGTCGTAATGTTTAAAAATCTGTTACCCATTTCTGATCAGTCTTCTTTTTCAATTCCTTATACATCACATTACTTTAGTCCTATAATATTTGAAAGCATAAAATTCAATTTACACAACAGCACTGACTGATGTGATATCAGTCCAAGGGTGAAGTGGCACAAGGATAGAGGGGCTGATGAGAACGAGTGAGTCTAGCCTCAGCCCAGTCAGCTAAATAAGTGTCTCTCTGGTAAATAATCACATAGTTACAAATAATGCACTTGAAAGTCCAGATCAGCAGATTTGCTTTTAATGAAGACCAAGCACAGAAGTATGATCCATAACTTCACAGTAATATAAGCAGAACACTCTTTCTGCTGACATTGTTTGAAAACAGTTCACCAGTTTGATTTCTTACGTGATGAAATTGTTGCCTATGATATATTTATTTGCTCCTATATTATCTGGTATCTATGACTTTATGCTGACCTAATCATAAATGGAATTTCTAAAACCATTAAAAGACAATTTAATATACCTAGGAATTTGATGTATCTTTGTGTGTAAATGTTTTTAGGAATATTCAAAATGGAATTTTAAAAATGATCTGTAACAAACAGACATTACCCTTTTCCAGAGACTTTCAGGTTCTATATAAAATAAAACAAAGTAACAAAAGGGATAAAACAGAACCACAAGAAATATGGCTTATTTTTTTTTCCTGGTTGTTTCTATTGGATGAGTTGGGGAGAAAATAAAAAGGGAACATACAGAGATTATTTCAAACCAATTTAGCCCACTCAGAAATAGTAGAATCTACTTCCTTAGTCAGTGCTCTCCCTAATAAATGCAACTAAAATAAATGATACATGTTTATTGTGGATTTTCTTTTGAAGTTTTTGATTTGACAAGTTAAATCTAATATGCACATTTATTAATATATTATTAAATCATCTTTCAAGGATGCTAACCTTTCTGTCTCAAGCCAAATTATTTTGAAAGTTTCAATGACGTGGAAGAGAAAAATGACAGAAACATATATCAAGCCTTTTAGCAATTCACTGAAATTCAATACAATCAGTTGTTGAAAAATCAGGAGAGAAGTATACTATAAGTGGCAACTGGCTAGATATGTGGTGGGTTTATTAACCAGTTAAAGAGGCAGAAAGTTTCCTATATAGGCTAACAGGTTTTCTGGTTAGTGTTTATGAACCTTCTAAAGAGATAAAGGCCAATGACAGTATCTTCCAGTTGGACTTGACTTGCTCCAAGAAAAAAAAATTAGGTTTCAGCTTGGGTATTAATGAATATTTACCAGGGTGGCTGAAGGGCTTAAGGAGAATGAAACCTTTCTTTCTAAATTTGCATAGGTAAGACTATCAGGAAGTTAAAGTCCAGCTTTCCCCCCCCCTTGATTATATCTAGAGTATGCATTACTGAGAGGGTAAAATCTGTGTCTAAGACACCAGAGATAGGAGTACCAGCCCTTGTGTCTAGGTTATCACTCCTTCCTAAGCAGTATAGACAAATTCCTGACCTGGTTGTGAGCAGTAAGAACTCAGCTCAGTTGTCTCAAAGGAGAGAGGATTTATTAGATTTTGTAGAAAAGGATATAATCTAATAAGAATACAACACCTAGAAGCTGGGTCAGTTTGTTTTTCCCTCAACATCCAGAGAGTGATTTGCTGTCTTCCAACATTATTTCATGCCAGGTTTGTGTAGCTACCCATAGTTAGTGATTAGCCTTTGCTTTCAGTGAAGGAATCAACAGAGTTCTAGGGATGTATTGCTGGCCAGCAAGCAGAAACTCATGGCTGGGTAAGTGGTATTCATTTATTATTATAGTGGTGCTCAAGTGTTAGCATATATCAGAATCATTGGGAATGCTAAGACACAGATTGCTGGGCTCCAGACTCCGAGTTTTAGATTCAGCAGTAGTGGAGTCTTATTGGGGTGAGGTCTACGAATTTGTGTTGCTAACATGTATCTGAGTAAACCTGAGACTGCTGATCTGGCCGCCACGCTTTAAAGGGATGCATCCATTCAAAAAAACAGTATATCAAAATTTTGAGTTTTCCAGCCTCCTGTGTTATGAGCTGGAAATGCAATACTGAAAAGATGCATACCCTGCCTACAAGGAGGTTACTGTCTGGGTGGGTTCAGCAGACATTAATCAAATGATCACATAAATAAATATATAATCACAAAATTGCCAGGGGTTTTGAGACACTAGTTTATGTTGCAGTGATTTTAAAGACTCTTACTGATTGAGCTTGGGGAAGAAATAAAATGAGAAAGACTGTGGTCTGTCATCTTCATAGTCTTGACAGCATCAGAAGCGCCATCCAAACAAGAGATAGAAGTAGAAATATTATACCTAGAATTCAGGGAGGAAATATTCCAGACCTTACATTAAAGATTTAGTTCTCTTTCTGTTTTTATTCACATTCATTTTAGGATTACTGTTTCACTGGGAAAAATGGTAAGGATTCTCAATTTTACTGGCATTCAGAGAAAAGTCAGCTTCCTTCAACCAATAGAATAGTCAATTTTGCAATTAAATAATGATATGATAGAAAAGATGGCAATTTGAAAACATTCAAAGTCGTCCTTTGTTTCAAAATAATAGACTGATCCACAAATCAGACTTATGTATTGTGTCAGTTTATTTAGGAAAATTAATCAAAATGGATTCCTTTAAGGGTAATGGTTCAACATTACATTTGACCTTTGTTCTGCCATTAATTATCTGTATACTTTTGTCAAATCATTTAACCTTACTGATCTTTGGCTTTCCCATGTGTAAGATGAGGCTCTTAGGAAGGATATTTGCTAGGATCTTTTCCAGCTCTGACATCGTATGAAATTAGATGGCTAAGGAGTTCATTTGGAACATAGCACTTTCTTTGGTTAAGAGTAGAAGAAATTTTTAGGATATTTAGTAAACCTATTGCTTTTTTATTTTGTAAGCTATAGTGTAAATTGGTTGTGCTTACTAGTCCTGATTATCAGCCAGAGAAAACATTAGTCTTCATTATATTAGATTACAGTGGTAACATGTGTTAAGTTCTTTTGGCATGACGTGGCACTGTTGTTTTCTCTTAAATTGAGGTGGTTAGTAGTCCTTCATGCCAGTACTATTTAATTTTTTTCCCCTATTGAATCATTCATATTTAGTTTAGTGATTCTGTTGGGAGCAAAAAGCAAAATCAGCAGCTTTCTTATCACCATAAGAAATGAATCTGGAGGGGTCATTTGGTGCCCTCTTTAGGAACAAGTCCTTTGATTAGGTATCCAGGCTTCAAAATGTGTGTGCCCTGAAAAAAAGAATGTGCTTTTCTGTGCTTAAAAAATTGCAGAGAATGACCCATCGTCTATTAGAAATGCACTTGCAGTTGTTTTTCCAGAAGTGTTCATGACTCTCAGCCCCACCAAGCCACCCACAGACATTTGCTTGCTCTCACATTTGTTTTGAGAATAATAACATTTTATAATGCTTTTGTTGGATTACATATTATGTGGAATTTGCATTGGCTCTTTGTGACTAATATTGAATAACTTTGTTTCGCTTAATTCATAAGTAAAAACCATAAGCAACATACTGTGCTGAAATGTTTAACTCTTTTATTCAAGTGCCAACACAAAGTAATTACAAAACAGTT